CTCATCCCTCCTCTGGGATGCACAGAACCAGCCAAGAGCAACTGAGTTTATGAGAAGTGAAAACTTGCTTAGGGAAATTACATTCCTTTTTCTCCCAAGTGGAATGCTGGGGTGTACCTGACCAGGACTCCCCCCTCCCCCAATGCTGTCTGCCTCGTGGCACCACTCCCGTTCCCCATTGAACTACCACGGGGCTCTACGGCATCAAAGACCTTGGTCTTTGCCAAAAATCTCCCATTGTCACCTTTGAAGTTTGTGGGTTTTTTTTCCTAATATCCACTCAGACTTCCTGGACCACCCCACCCCTGTGCCGGAGTCACGTGGTGCGCAGTCATTTCCCATATTTTCTGCAAGGTGACCATCTTCTCTCCCTGCATTCAATCCTGTTGACATCAAGAAGGAGCCCTCACTGAGTGAGACCCTCCCCTCTCCTCGCTCTCAGCACTAGGGGGGAAATGTCCCACCCTGAGGGAGGCACATAACCTGAGCACATTTCCTTCGGTGCAGCTGCTAGACACCCATTCCCTTACACCCATTTTCTACTGTTTCCATGGGGGCTCCAGCTCCAACCTAGATCTCAACTTCCCTGTGTGACATCTGCCCAATTTATCATGATGATTCCTTAATATGAACCCAGAAGAAGTTGTAACTAGGGGGCCCAGTGCCATAGCCTAGTGACTAAGTCCTCGCCTTGTATGTGCCGAGATACCATATGAGCGCCAGTTCATGTGTCAGCTGCTCCATTTCTCTTCTAGTTCCCTGCTTGTGGCCTGGGAAAACAGTTGAGGATGGTCCAAACTCTTGGGACCCTGCATCCACATGGGAGACCTGGAGGGAGTTCCTGGCTCCTGGCTTTAGACATGCTCAACTCCATCCATTGTGGCCACTTGGGGAGTGAACCAGAAGACAGAGGATCTTTCTGTATCTCCTTCTCTCTGTATATCTGACTTTCTTAAAAAAAAGAAGTTATAACTAGGCAGTCCCAGCCTCTTGTCTGTGATGGAAAATATTGGTACCTTCAGTCAATCCCCTTCTCTCTACCCCCATCCCAGCAGGGTCCACCCTCACTTCTCTTGCTGCCCACTTTCCCTGACCCCCCCACCCCTACACACAGGCCAAGGTCAAATTTTCTTCCTCTTCTTGAGTTCCAGAGAGCTAGGATAAGGACGGGCTGTGGTCTTTATAAAGGCCTCCATGGCTCTCCTTTCCTGCTCATATCACCTTCTCAGGTAAATTATAAATAAGCCACAAAGACTGAGGGTGGGACTGTCTCCTCATGAACGCATCCAGGAGGGTGGCCTGTCTAGCAGCTGCCTCGGATCTCTGTGTCCACCCCAGGGTACAAATGAACCCTGGATAAGAGAGAGGTCATCCATGGAGCTTCCGGTATATGCAGTGCAACCCTCTCCTCGTCTCCACGTTTGCAAGCGAGGTCCCAGGGCCACAGTGTTCTCCAGCTGAGGAAAACGCAAAGATGCCTGGGGGGCGGGGGGCGCCCCTTGTGCATACCCCCTACCAGAGCAGGAAGGAAAGGAGTTGCTGGGCACTACTTAGTCATCCAACGGCACCTCTGCCTTCTGTGTGCCACCCAGCAAGAATCTAGGGAGGTCTCGCTTCCACCAGGCACTGCAGGTCCTGGGCTGGCATCCTGTGGCTCACCAAAGTTGTAAAAAGGGCCCAGGCAGCCCGGAGTTCAGATCTGGCTCCCCTGGAGCCCGCCCCAGGGGCCCATTCAAAAGCAGCTGTCACCAACGAAACCTCTCCACCAATTCCTCCTGCCAGGCCTCAGGTCTGGCTCCAGGGCTCACCCCACCCGCCCCAGCTCCCCCCCTTCCTTCCTTTCCTTCTCCTCCCCCTCCCCCCCCCCAGCTTCACCTACCCAGGACAGCCCCACCCAACTGTGCAGGGCACATCCCATAATAATCCTCGCCAACCCCCACCCCCCCAAAAAGAGAGGCGGCCATCCCATAATAGCCACCCACAAGAGACATTCCGCGGTGACCGCCCCCTCCCTGCAGAGCTGCTGGGAGCAGCCATCCCATAATAGCCGGTCGCCTGTTTTACTGGTTACGGCTGTGGAGGGAGCTGGAGAGGAAATGGAGGGGAGGGGGAGGGGACGCGACTCGAGGGCCCCCACTTGTGGAGGGGAGGCAGAGGAGCAAGCCAGTGCAGCAGGGGTTCGGGCGGCCTGGGCAGGTGGGAGGAGGGAGCCCCCCGGCCACGGCCGCTTGCCCGCCTCCCTCGGGCACTCTCCCCCTTCTCGGAGTGGGCTGCTGGGGAGGATGAGGCCAGGTGCCCAGGGTGTGCGCCGGCCCGGAGGGAGAAGGCTCTCAGGTGTCTCGCCCTCCCAACCCCCTCCCTCCACCAGGGGCCGTCGGAGAGAGGAGGCTGACCTTGGAGAGGCTGGGGGGCTAGAGAAGAGCTCCTCAGGCCCTCCCCACTCTGCACCACCATCCCATAATAATCCCCCCAGCCCCACTCCCCCTCCCACACACGACATCCCATAATATCTTCTGGAGCAGCAGTCCCCGCAGTAGGTACAAAGAGCTATCCCATAATAAGCTTCCCCACCCCCACTCGGCACCCCCCCAACTTGGCCCCCCCTCCGTCACATGCAGCCGGTGCCATCCCCCGCTGCTCCCCCCTCTGGCCACCGAAGGCCTTGCCAGCCCATAATACTCTAGCCTCTGGTCGCAGGAGGCCTCCAGCCCATAATACTCCCTTCCACCACCACTCCCCCCCTTCCCGCCCCGCACCCCTTCCTCCCGCCTCCAGTTGGAGCCGGGCCTCACCAGCCCATAATATTCCCCCGGCTCCTAAGGCTGTTCCAGCCCATAATACTCTCCCTGTCTCCTAAGGCCTCTCCATCCCATAATACTGCCAGACGCCTGACCTGTGGGCCAAACCCCAGCCCGTTGCACACATGGAGGCTGTGTCAGCGCTGCCGGTCTCCCAGCCTGTCCCTCCTCCTCCTTCTCCTCCCCGGCCAGCGCGCTCCCTCCCGGGCTCCTCACCGCCCTCCTGCCCCGGGGCCCCTCTCCCGGCCCCACCCCGTGCCTGCCTGGGCCCCGAACTTCCCCTGCGGCCACCTCCCTTGCCCTTTCTTCAGGGCTGGGTTCTTCCTGCACAAGCCCCTCTTCTTCCCCCTGGTCTGGAACCCCTTGGGCACGTGTGGGGTGGACACCACCCTGGTGCAGTGGGCTGCTTCTGCAGCCAGCCTTGCTGGAGCCCGGTGCGGGCGGCCAGCCTTGCCTCTGGGGGTCCCCGGTCCTCCACCTTCCCTAGTGCTGATGGTTGGCACAGCTGGGTCTGGGTGAGGCAGTACCCAGAACCACGCTCCGTGGGCATCTTTCCCTTATGGCTTTCTCCTCCTCCTATGCCTTGGGGAAGAACTCCCCAAACCTGTGAGCCCCAGCTCACACAGGCAGAGGCAGAGGCACGGGAGTTTCCATGGTGGCTGAAATGGCCCTGCCAGGAGGTGACAGCTGAAATTAGCACCCGGGTTTGGCCAGCCTCGGGAGATCTCACAGGCTTCCTGTGACAAACTCCCACGTCCACTGTGGTTCCCTGAGTTCCTCTGGAGAGGAGAGCGTGGGGGAGAATGAACCAGCTCCCTTCCACCCCAGGGCCCCTGAGACTGGCCTCCCCTCCTTGCCCAGGACCTACGGACCCTCTCATCCCAGGAACCCAGGTGGCAAGGATGTCCTCCAAGGAGGCTGGGCCGTGAAGCTTCCACACTTCCTGGAGCTTGTTCTGTTGGCCAAAGTGGCGATGGTTGAGTGTCTTCCTGCCGTTCAGCGTGTGGCAGGACCATCCTTCCTTGCAGAGGGGGACCTCCCCTCAGTTCAGCTTGGGGACAGGAGAGCTACCTTGGCGCTCACTGGGCTTGTATGACACCCAGCCGCCCTGCAGCTGCCTTACTCTCCTGAGCCATCCGTGGTTCTCCAGTAGGGACCAACGCTAGTGGCCATTGGAGCCCAGCCCCACTGTGTCTGGCAAGCCAGAAGGGCAGGGCAGGTGTGCTGCAGGGGATAATGGCTTAGGAACATGGGAAAAGGGACGGGTGGTTGGGAGAGGCGTCCCGTTTGAGGAACGAAGGCAAAGGAACCAGGGGGGAATATGTCATGGACCTGGAGCTGGGAAGGCAGAACCAACCAGGAAGAGGGGGGCAGAGCAGGATGGCCTGCAGAGCCCTAGCACATGGGAACAAAGCAGAGACAGAGCCAGTTCCCCCTGCGTGACCTCAAGACCTGCTGGGGATTACCAGTACCCTTCACTCACAGGGTTTACACAGTCATTAAATAAGCCCTTGCATCTATAGCATTACACTGCAGCCTCGCCATCCAGGAGATGTCTTAAAATCAATCCCACGAACCCTGTGGCTCTTGTCCTTGTCTGTCTTTTGCCTGCCGGAGGTAGTCCAGCACCTTGCCAGGATGGGGTGCCTCCCAGACCTCAAGGTGAGGTGCCTCCCAGACCTGGAGTGAGGCTGTGGTTTCTCTCCATCTTGTTTCCCTCCTAGCATTCATTCAGAAGCTGTGGGGAACCGATCCCTGTGACAGCCATGCTGGCTACAGATTTCCCTTAGCCCTCCACAGCCTGTTAACTTGTAGGGCTCTGCTGGTCCCCCCTCCACCCACCCCATTTCCTTAATCTCAGCTTGCTTCTCAACTCTCCTGGGGCCAGAGCTAAAGGTGTGAGCTAAAAGTGTGAGTGCCCCAAGGCTCACCCTGGAGACCCTGGTCTTTCCCAGCAGCGGCTCCCATCAGCCACTGCAGCTTCTCCCAGCTGCAGCAGGAGGTCCGGGAACAGCCTCTGATTCCGACCCCTTGCTTGCCTGCACAGGGTGTCTCACTGCGGAACCTCAGGGGCTCCCCAGTGCCCTCAGAGCCACAGTGAGCGCCTTTCTCCACGTTTTGTTTTTTCTTGCATCTTTGTGTCTTGTGTCATTGCTCCCTCTATCTCTTCTGTGGTCCACGCTACTTCCCAGCAAGAGGTTCATTCATTTACCAGCTGTTTATTGAACATTTCCACTGTGTCAGACGCTGGCGTTTGGGGGTGGGGCAGGCAGAGAACAAGCATGAAGGGGGTAAATATCAGAAAAAAAAAACTCAAAAATCCCACCCCGCTGGAGCACCCGTGTTCCTGAGGAGACAGACAAGACACTGTCAAGGGAACATAAATAAACAAGTGAATGGTATGGCGTGTTGGCAGGTTACACAGGCTGTGAGGCTGAGTTACTTGGGTCTTTGTGCTCACATAAAAGTACTCAAATAGTTTTTAAAAATTGTGTTCAGTCTGGATAGGGCAAAGTGGATGACACTGAGAATCGGGACTGCTGGTGGCCTCAGGATAGAAAAGGCCTTGAACCTTGAGCTTGAAGCAACAAGCAGCAGGTGCAAACCTCTTTCTGCAGGAGGTGAGTGAGGGAAGGGCCCAGGCCTCTCACACAAGTAAGAAAGCACCCAGCTTCGTCCTAACTTTTGAGGGCTCTGGGTCAGTTCCTCCGTTTGGCCACTAGGGGTCATTTTACCCCAGGAAATCACCAACAGTGGTGCTCCCAGAAACACACACAAAAGGGTCATTCTGAACTTACACCTGCATGCGCGCACGGTCTTGACATGAAGGCACACGTGCACACAGGAATTCCTGTGTAAAGTACCCACCGCAGTCAGCACTGTCAGGATCTGAAGATGCCCAAGAACCCCTTCGGCAGACCCTCCCAGCACCCCACTTGGGTACAGAGGAAAAGGAGCAGTGGATGGCTAATTCCCTCGCCTCCCCCAGCAAAGCGCAGCCACTCCAGCCCTCCCCTCAGCCCTTCCTCCCTTCCCTAGCTGGCACACAGCTCCTTGCCCCTTCTCAGGCCCCAGGACTTTTGCCCACGTTAGTGTCCCCATTGGTGGGTACCGGCCCTGGCTGCACCCACAAAACTCCAGGCCTTAGGGCCTGTTATCGACCACTTTGTGGAGTGCTCTCCCCCACAGAAACCCAGAACGAAAGTGAAAATCTGCCGTCCCCCAGGGAGAAGTCAGACCTGAACTCTAATACTTTAGCCAAGTATGTTTCTGAGTGTGATCCAGGGACCGGTTCCTGAGAAAAGCCCATGCCAATTGTCCCTTTCATCCTACGTGATCTCACAAGTGGAATCTTCCAGAGGCTGCATGAGGTAGATGGCATGGTTATTGGAACGTACGTTTGTATTTCTGTGTCTTAGGGGAGAACTTCTGTTCTACTAGCTAATGATTCAGGAGCCAATGAGCACAGAATAAGAAAAAGCTCTCTAGAACTCTAGAGTATAAAGGGATCTGCGAGCAGACTGAGGCTTGAGCACCAAGGATTTGTCCATGCGCTGGACAAAGCAAGCGAGGAGGAGGAAGAGAGAGAGAAACGGCGACACCCGGGCTCAAGAAAGGGGACGGTGGTACAGGAACAGACAACTTGGAAAGGGGAGCTAGGACTAGGAGTTGGCCAGGGTGGACACCTCCTTGGCTTTCGCCTGGCCCAGCTGCCCCCTGCTTGGGCGTCAGGCTTGGGGTGTCACTGCAGAAGAACCAATGCAATCCTGTCCACAGTGAATGAATGCTCAGCCCTGGGTGGTGGTGGGGAGCCTAGGTGACAATGACAGCAGGTGGCTACCATGGCCCTCAAATTGGCCCAGAGGTGAGCTGATGAAAGAGCTTTTTGTATGAAAGAGCCTTGATGCCCTGGCCTGGGGAACCCTTCAGCTCTCAGACCCCAGCAATAGGTCCATGTTAGAAGAGCCCTTTTCTGTTCCACCTGCCAGTGCTTAGCCAGGGGCCAGCCCAAGGTCGGGAGCCCCACTGTGCAGAAGCCAACCCAGCAGCCTTCTTCCATCCTCGGGGCGTGGGTAGCTTGGGCTCCCCTTGTTTCTGCATTCAGAGGCTCACACAGGGGACCCAGAAGCCCAAGGCCAGGTCCCACCTCTCACAGGAGGGCTACCCTGGGCAGAAAAGGTGACCTGCTTGAAGGGCACAGCATTTTTTCAGAGGGCGAAGTCCTGTGTGCCCTGGGTGAGGGGCTCGCTGGGGCCCCTGGACCGCTGCAGGAGCTCCTGACTGGTGGCATCCAACCTGGTGGTGTGGATCTCTGTCGCCCGCGCACCGTTGGTGACCTCGGTCCTGGCTCCCTGCGGCCGGCGCAGACCTCGCAAGGTGTTGCGGAAGCCTTCAGCGCTGAAGTAGTACACCAGCGGGTCGAGCACGCAGTTGGCGCTGGCCAGCAGCACCATTACCATGAGCACCCCGCGCACCTGATCGCGGGCTGCGGTGCTGGCCTCCACCAAGTGGCTGCGCAGCAGCCCGTAGACGGCCAGCGTGGTGTTGTAGGGCACGAAGCACAATAGGAAGATGACAAGGTTGGCCAGCAAGAGGTGCACGGTCTTACGTCGCCGCTGGCTGCGCGTGGCGTCGCGCCGCCCCAGCGTGCAGAAGACGCGACCCGATGAGTAGCCCACGGCCGCAAGAGGCAGCCCGAAGCCCAGCGCCTCGGCCAACAGCAGGAGCGGTAGCAGGCGGCCTTTCCACAGCTGGTCGCTGAAGCTCTCAAAGCACAGGCGCACCTCGGTGCCCTGGTAGCTGCAGGGCGAGGGCCTGTGTACGCGGGCGGCAGGCACGGCGAACACCAGGATGAGCACCCACACACCCAGGCACACGAGCCGTGCCACGCGGGGTCGCCGCAGGTGCCGCAGCCGCAGCGGATGCACGATGGCGGCATAGCGGTCCAAGTTGATGAGCATCAGGAAGATGCAGCTGCCGTACATGTTCATCTGGAAGATGGCACCTGCTATCTGACACAGGAGGTCGGGGAAGGGCCAGTAGTGCAGCGCATAGTAGGAGAGGCGCACGGGCAGCGACAGCGTGAAGAGCAGGTCGCTGGCCGCCAGGTTGCACATGTACACGCTCACCACCGAGTGTACCCGCAGCGCGCGGAGGAAGACCCACAGGGCCAGCGCGTTGAGCGGGAACCCTGCTGCCAGCACCAGGCTGTAGGCCACCAAGTGCAGGCGGTGGGTAGGCCTGTAGTCCAGGCACGGAGGAACGGAGCTGTTGTTGACTGAAGCGCTGATGGAGGAGTTGGCCAGCAGAGAGATATTGGGCAACATCCTGCCCAGGTAGCAAGGGGAGCTAACCTGGGGGCGTCATGGGGCACGTCGCGGTCGGAGCATTCACCGTCACCTCCAGCTGTGAGGGTCTGGAGGCTTGGGCAGGGGAAGAGTTCCAAGGGCATCAACGGCAGGTCATGGAAATGTGGCCCGAGGTTCCTGTGACAAGGAAGAAAGGCAGTACCTGGGCCATGGCACCATGAGCAGTGGAGACCTGGAAGAGGAAGAAGATACGCCGGAAGTCAGATGGAGGGACACAGGCATTAGTGTTTGTCCAGCTAACCTGCCTGGCCACCAGAATGTTCTCTCAGTCTCAAGTTTTGCTTCATCTTCCATCTGGCCGGAATTGCTTCCTAAAAAGCATGAGGTTAAATATCCCAATTCTAGGGCCTGGTGAGATAGCCTAGTGGCTAAATCCTCACCTTGCACACCCAGGGTCCCATATGGTTGCTGGTTCATGTCCCAGCTGCTCCATTTCTCATCCAGTTCCCTGCTTTTTGCCTGGGAAAGCAGTCGAGGACGGCTCAAAGCCTTGGGACCCTGCACCCACGTAGGAGACCCAAAAGAAGCTTCTGGCTTTTGACTTTGGATTGACTCAGCTCTGGGTGTTTCAGCCACTTGAGGAGTAAACCAGTGGATGGGAGATCTTTCTGTCTCTTCTCTGGAAGTCTGCCTTTTTAATAAGAATAAATAAATCTTTACAAAACAAACAGATTCTAGAGACTGCCTGGGGTTGGCAGTTTAAATGAGAGGCAGAGAAGAGATCTGGTTCACGCACCAGAGGCTCCTGGCAGCTGGGGCCAGGCCAGGCTGAAGCCAACACTGAGGACTCGGTTTCACATGGGTGGAACGGGCCTGAGTCCTTGAGCTATCACTGTGGCCTCCCACGATCTGCACTGGTGGACAGCTGGAGTCAGGAGATGAAGGCAGGAATGGACCCCAGTATGGCTCCATGGGCATGTGAACAGCTGAGAATACGGGCTAGCTCTGCCTGGGTTTACATGTTGGCTTTGGCACTGGTGTTGTGCTGAAGCAAGACCCAGTCCAGCCCTCACCTTGCTGGTATCCCATGTCGGAGTGCCAGTTCCTGTTTTGGCTGTTCCCCTTCCTTCCAATCCAGCTTCCTGCTAATGAACCAGGGAGAGCAGTGGAAGATGGCCCAAGGGCTTGGATCCTTGCCACCCCTGTGGGCAAGTAGGAATGACTTGCGGCTTCTAGCTTCGGCCTGGCCCACATGTGACTGTTGTAGCATTTGGGGAAGGAGCCAGCGAAGGGATGATCAGTATTTCTGTCCTTCCCCCTCCCTTGCTCTTTCTGTCATTCTGCCTTTCAAATAGAACTTTTTTTTTTTTTCTTAATACATAGGGCCTGGAGCAATGGTTCAGTGGCTGAGTTCTTGACTTGCAAGTGCCAGGATCCTATATGGGTGCTGGTTCATGTCCCAGCTGCTCTAGTTCGTATCCCAGCTCCCTGCCTGTGGCCTGGGAAAGCAGTTTAGGACGGCCCAAAGCTGTGGGACCTGGCACCTGAATGGGAGACCCGGAATAGGCTCCTGGGTTTGGATTGGCTCAGCTTGGCTCTGGCCTTTTGGGGAGTGAAGCAGCAGATGGGAGACACTTCTGTCTCTCCTTTTCTCTATAAATCTGACTTTCCAATAAAAATAAAGATTTCAGAAAAATAAATCAACATATGTTGGCTTTGTTGGGGTAAGTGCCATGTCACAGCAGGATTGAGCCACCACTTGGGCCACTGCATCCTCTGCTGGAGAGCTCGGCTTGGGTCTCGGCTGCTCTATTTCTGGTCCAGCTTCCTGCTAAGGCACCAGGGAGGCAGCAGATACTGGCTTCAGGACAGGTTCCTGTCACCCACGTGGAGAGTCGGATGGAATCCTGGGCAACTAACTTCAGCCTGGCCCAGCCTTGGCTGTCCTGGGCATTTGGGGCATGAATCAGCAGGTGGAAGACGTGTGTGTGTTTCCTCTGCATGTTACTCTGCCCTTCAAATAAGCAATCTTTAAAAAGAAGGAATACTATAGAGCACACCCCTGGGCCAAGTGCACAGCTGGCTCCCTGTTATCGCAAGAATAAAGTTCATAGTTGAGTTCACAACCCCAGCCACACTCACTGCATCCACCCTTGCTCCTATGTGGGCTGGGCTTGAGGGTCCAGAAAGCTGGGGTCAGCTTGCTTTTTTGACCTAACCCCGTCTATGAAATGGGAATAATCATATGGGAGTGCTTGCATCCCAGCCTTGGGGAGAGCTTCACTTGAGTGAATTTGACAGTCCAATGGAAGGCCCGTGGGTAGAGCTTTTCCAGGTGTTTTCTATTAGACAGCTTGCCAGGAGGACTCTGTGTGTGTGTGTGTGTGTGTGTGTGTGTGTGTGTGTGTGTGTGTGTAGGGGGGGAGATGATAACTTAGTATCCCAGGGCTCAAAAGGGACTTGGGGCTCTAGGGTCCTGGGGCCCCGGGAGGGTGGAGGTGAGGCGAGCAGGTGCTGCCGTGAAGCCATTGCCAAGGTGGTCAGACAGCAGCAGCACGGTAGCCACTGTTCTCAGGCCGGCAGCCAGGCAGCACTTAGCACTGAAGCCGCTAGGTACGATGTTTGTGTTCTGTGCCGGAACACCGGCTTCCGTCCCTGCCCCTGGCTGCCAACTCCACCTTCTTGATAATGGGGACTCTGAGAGGCAGCAGGTGACAGCGCCAAGCACTATGGCCCCTGTCACCCTGGGGAGACCTGGATTGGGCCTCCAGCTCCTGGCTGGCTTGGGTCTGACTCAGCCCCAGGCGTTGCAGGTATCTGGGGACTGAGTCAGCAGCTGGATGATTTTTCTACGTCTCCCCCTCTCTGTTTGCCAAATACAATGAAAACTGTTCAGAATTAAGAGAGACAGACCTAGCTTGGGTTCCTGGTTCCTGGCTCTTGGAAGCTTTTATTTCTCAAATAAATAGCTCAATGTTTTTTGAAGTTAGCAGATAAAGGGTAAAACTCAGTGATAGTGGAGGTGCGGGACAGGATGTGGCTTGAGGCTGCCACCCTCACCACCCACCCCCAGTCCAGCCTGAGATGATATCTATTGTTTGTGTAAGGGGCACAGTACACACAATAGGAGCTGGTGCCATGGAATGGTGGGTTAAACTTCCATCTGCAGCTTCAGCATCCCATGTGGGCACCAATTTGAGTCCCAGGTGCTCCACTTCCCAGCCAGCTCCCTGTTTGTGACATGGGAAGCCAACAGAGGATGGCCCAAGTCCTTGGGCTCCTGTACCCCTATGGAAGACATGGAAGAATCTCCTGGCTCCTGGCTTCGGATCAGCTTAGCTCTGGGCATTGCAGCCACTTAAGGAGTACATGGAAGACTTCTCTCTGTCTGTTCTTCTCTCTGTAATTCTACCTGTCAAATGAAAATAAATAAATCTAAAATTTTAAATACATATTAAAACATCTATTTGAAAGAGCAATACAGTCAGAGAGAAAAAACATTCATTGCTGGTTCATTCCCCAAATGGCTGCACAGTCAGGCCTGGGCCAGGCCAAACTCAGGAGGCAGATATTCCATTCCAGGCCTCCCACATGGGTCTCGGGGACCCAGGCACTTGGACCATTTTCCAGCACCTCTCCAGGTGTGTTAGTAGGAGCTGTAGCAGAAGCAGGGCAGCCAGGACTGAAACTTGCACTCCAAGATAGCATGCCAGCAGTGCCAAGCATGGCTTGACCCGACAATGCCTGCTCCTAAATGCAGCATTTTAAAGTGCAGCAACTCAGCGGCCTCAAGTATATTCACAATGCTGCGTAATGATCACAGTAACAGTTTGCAACAATAGAACTTTTTTTGCATTTTACAAAAAGATTTATTTATTTCTATTGGAAAGTCAGATATACAGAAAGGAAGATCTTCCATCCAGTGATTTATTTCCCAAGTGGCTGCACCGCTTGAAGCTGAGTCAATCCAAAGCCAGGAGCTAGCAATCTCTTCCAGGTCTCCCACACAGGTGCAGGGTCCCTAGGCTTTGGACCATCCTTGATTGTTTTCCCAGGCCACAAGTAGGAAGCTAGTTGGGAAGTGGGGCCACCAGGGGTTAGAACTGCGGCCTATATGGGTTCCTGTATGTGATCCCAGCAAGTGCAAGGTGAAGATTTTATGCTAGGCTACCACACCAGGCCCCCAAAATAGAACATCTTTGAAACTCCGAACATGTACCCTTAAGCACCTTTCTACCCTGTGCCCCACTGTCTGTGAGTTTGCCTGGCCTAGATGCCTGATGTGTATAGTGTTTGTCCTTTCGTGTCTGCCTTAGTTTGCTCAGTACATTTCTAAGGCCCATTCATGCTGTGGGACATAATGGCATTTTATTCTTTTATAGCTGCATTATGTAGGCAGGGGCAGGCTTTTGGTGCACGAGTGAAGACACTGTTTGGAATGACCGTGACCCATGTTAGGTGTCATGGGCTTGCCATTCCAGCTTCCTGCTAATGCGCACTGGATGGAGGTTGTAGTAACAGCTCGCGTAATTGGCTCCCAGCCACCCAATGCCTGCTGCAGACACTGGGAGAGCCAGCCAGTGGGTGGGAGGTCTCCGCTGTGGCTCAGGTGAAACAGATTATTTGGGGCTGACATTGTGGCACATCAGGTTAAACTGCCACTACAATCTGGTATTCCCCTATCAGAGCACCAGTTCAAGTCCTGACTGTTCCATTTTCCATCCCCCTCTCTGCTACTGTGCCCAGGGAAGCCATGGAAGGTGGCCTAAGTACCTGTGTCCCTGGCACCCACGTGGCAAACGTAGATGGAATTCCAGTCTTCCAGATTTAGCCCGGCCTCTGCCATCACGACTGTTTGGGGAGTGAACCAGCAGGTAGAAGTACTTATTCTCTCCCTCTCTGTCATTCTGTATTTCTAAGTAAATAAAACAAATTTTTGAATGAAATAACTAATCAATTTAAACAATGAAGTTGATTGCGTGGCTCCAGCACATCTGACTTCTCCACGTGCCAGTGGACATGGGTTGGTTCCACATTGTGGCTCATGTGACTCCTGCTGCTGTGGTTGTGGTATCTGATGTCAACTTACGGGAGAGAAGTTGTGTGAGGCCCTGAGCCACTGCCCCAAGACATGCAGCTAGCTCCCGTCCAAAAAAACGGTTAGAATTCTCGCATGTAAACCTGTCACAGCTTTGTCGGGTTTTCTGTTTGTACCCTTTGCTCCATCCAGAC